AGGGGCCTTGTCCCCGGCACATGCTCTGATGCCTTCTAGGATTTCCTGTGCTTCAAAAGGGGCCATCAGTTGGTTATTGTCATCTTCATCAATCGTAGGGCACCTTATCATTTCTAAGTCTGGTCTCCAGTCCTCAGTTTCAGCATATAACTTCTCATAGTATTCTGTGATCTCCTTTTGTATCTCAGCAGGCTCAGTCAATAGCTCATCTCTGACTTTAATCTTATCAATAGTGTTGACTCTTCTATGTGCATTTGCTGTTTTGTGGAAGAAGCTTGTATTCCTATCCCCCTGTTTAAGCCATACTGCCCTAGATCTTTGTCTCCATGTTGTTTCCTCTTTTTTAATTGTCTCCTCAAATTCAGTAGTAAGAGCCAATTTGGAAGCTATCTCCTTTTCCTCCAAAATTCTCTTGTCCTGTATCATTTCAAGTTCTGCTAATTGGTTTAGTACCAATTGCTTCTGTTGACTCAGATTGCCTTCCCTGGTCTTGCTCCACTCTTTCAACTTAGCTTTCAAGGCCCTTAGCTTCGCTACCAGTACAAAGTCTGGTTTTCCATGGAAGCGAAAAGACTCCCACCAGGTCTTAACTCTATCATTAAATCCATCAGTAGTCAACCACCAATTTTCGAACTTGAAATATGATTTGGTTGTCCCCCATTCTCCACATTGTAGCATTAATGGGGAGTGATCTGAGATCATTCTCTCTAAGACAGATTGTTTAATGTTCCTGAAATTTGAGTCCCATTCTTCTGAGATCAGAAACCTGTCTAGCCTTGCTGCTGTGGAGTGTCTGTCCCCTCTTCTCCAAGTGAACTCTCCCCCTGCTAAATCTAAGTCCATTAATTCCATGTCTTCAATGAACTCTGATAACTCTGTCGCCCTGCTGATTCTGTTACAGGGAAGATTCTCAGAAGGATACCTCACAGTGTTGAAATCCCCACATAGGACCCAAGGGCCCGTGAATTGAATAGACCTCTTGCTGCCCCTAGCTCCCACCAAGTTTCTTCCCTTTCTGCTCTATCATTCGGGGCGTAGACACCTGGTAGATGCCATTTAAAATCCAGATTCTTCCCAGAGAAACAAACAGAAACTGAAAATGCACCCACACTACTCACCTCCCCATCCCATCTTCTTTTATCCCACATAATTACTATGCCTCCCCTCGTCCCACTAGCTTCGAGTTGCACGTAATCTGCCCACCTACTACCCCAGATTTCCTTAACTTTATTAGCAATCTCCCCCTCCATTTTTGTCTCTTGAAAACATACCACATCTGCTTTCCAAGTTCTTATCATGTTCCTGATAATACTCCTTTTCCTCCCACAATTCAGCCCCCTCACATTCCATGACACAATGTTTAAATTCATTGATCCATAATGGCCAAAACCCCCCCTTTACTTCTAGTACCATTGCTATAGAACTTAGAATCCAGTTGCAGCCTTTTTAGTTCTAATAACCCTTTCCTCTTGCCTGTTGTTTGTTTACTCTGTTCCCCCCTGTTTCCTTGTTTATTGCTATCGATCTTCATCAACAACTCCTTCGCCTTTTCCTCACACCCTTTGAAATTAACCCCGAATTCTGAGCTTAGTTTGGTTATATTTTGTTGTATCCAGTCCGAAGTGCTCATGTCTTCTTCTGGAAATTGGATGCCCAATGGAATAGCTTCCTCTGTATCTCCGTCTAAATTCTCCTCCTCCAGTGGTTGAAACATTACCGTTATACTCTTCTCCCCCAATTCTTCTCTATCCGTGACAGCCATCTCCACACTTTGTCTCGCGACTTCCAGTTCCCCTCGGTCTCTACTCCATTGCGTGATCTGGCGTTGAAATTTGTTTTCCTTTGCTTTGTTTGCTGATATCTCGATATTTATTATATCTACAGGATAGGTAATCGATGTTTGGGCTCTAGAATTTTCCACAACAATTGGGTCCAAAATTTTTTGGCCCAAAGACAATTCCTTTTGACCTAGCTTTTTCCTGCTATACACATTATTTTCCCCTCCTTTAAATCTTAGGCCCACTTGCATACGGGACCCCTCACTTGAAGTCCCCACGTGCCCATCCACCTTTTTCACAGGTTGTGCCTCCTTTATCTTCTGCAAAAGCTGATCCTGGGTATTGACCACTGGGTATTTTCCTTTCTCCTCTCTCCTCTCCTCTGATAATCTTACTGTGACTGGAGCTTCACACCACACCGGAATGGTGTAAGTGAAGCCATCGCAGGTTACTTCTACTTCTCTGGGAATCCTCTCCCCATCACCTCGTACTTTGATTCTGGCCCAATGAAGGTGATTCTTGAGAGAAGTCTCCTCCTCCGTCTTGATAAAGCCTCCACATATGTCGCCGATCTCCTTGAAGACTTTTTGTGACCACAAATTCATAGGTAAACCCAACAACCTAATCCATACCCAATCTCTCCTTATCTCCGCCGGCCAGCAGCCTATCGTTGGTTTCCACCATTCGAGCCCCAACTTCGTCTTCCTCCAGATCCATTGACCTGTTAATACCTGCTCTGCTGCCACTTTGGATGGCAATTCAAACATAAAATACCCATCATTCATGGCATACACTTTGACTTGTATCGCCAACTTCCACGAATTACAAGCCCATCTTCTTACATCGTTCAAAATGGGGGTTTCGTCTGCTTGGCATTGAAATTTTCCTACGATGCACCTATTCAAGAGATCATTAACTGGCTGCGATTCACCACCTGTGATTCTTACTTTGTTCGCTGTACTCTGTATTTCGGCCTTCTCTGTTGCCTCCGTCATCCATCTATCTTGGAAGAGGGCTTCTTTGTAAGACTTGTGAAGCTGTTTTCTGTCCTTCACTGTTGTCCCCTGTGTTTTGATTGGCTCATAAATGAACCCAGCAATCTTGTGAGCTATATTCCCCCAGCCTCCTTTGGGTGTGGACTCCGGAATTATTATGACAGACTTGTTTTGACCTTGTAATGCTATGAAGCTGATGTATCTTCCACTTTCATTGTATTTAAGAGTGCAATAAAACTCTGCAAAGTGGTCCTTCAGGTTCCACCTCTTTACTGTCCTTCTGTGTACCTTTGAAGCTTTAATAAATACTGCAACTACCCATTTCAGGACTTTAATGCTAACTTTCACTCCTCTCATCAATTTTCTGCTGCGCTCCACCCATTCAAACCAAAAGGGAAAACATATGTTAATATAAACAGTTACTTTTTATTTTTCCTCTTAATTTTTTTTAAAACAAATTAGCAAACCATTTATAATTGTTCATAACCAAAACAAATCACTGCCATTAAATAATAGAATGGACATTTGACATGAATCTACCATTCCATTGAATTGGACATTTTCTAATGGGAGGGGATCTCTTCCTATATTGTTCTATATAAAACATAATATAAATAAGAATATTTGTATTAGCAATATGTGAATTAAACAATTGTACCTCCACAATTGTGTCAACACATCACTGTATTACTTAATAAAGCATAAACAAAAAACAAATACAATTCCAAGATTCATTAAAAAAACTCGATTCCAAATTCACTAAACAAATACAATTTACATATTACCCCAGCAGGTATGATCAGTGCAGTTAATATAGTACCAATGATTAACAAATTAGGGATGAAGAAAGAGAAACTGGGAGGAGTCTGGACAAATTTACTTGGTATCAAAGAGAGAATAAGAATAAATTATGAATTTTTACACAAACACATCAAATATATATATATATATATATATATAAAGATTGTGGTCTTTTTTGAAGTCGAGATGCACATATTTCGTGAAAAAAGATAAAAGGAAGATACTGAAAATAAAAAAAGAAATAAGAAGAGGAAACAACACTTACTATGGAAAAATGAGAATTGAGATAGCACTGAAGAGTGATAAATGCAAGTGTGGAAAAGGAAAAATGTCTTTTTATTTGTGTTTAACTTCTTGATTCTAATAAAGTGTTTTCAATGTGTGGATGAAAGAGAGCCGTGTAGAAAGATATTGTTTAGTTTTAAATGATCTTTTTGTCCACTCAACTGATTAGCATATGAAACTGATGAAAATTACACTAAATGATGGAGTTACTTTTTAATTTTTCTCCCGGGATTAGTTAAGAGGGATGAAGATGTTTCTAGAGTGAACCTAAAACATTGGCTAGAGCATAAATGAATGTATATCAAAGAACCCAGCAACACTCGAAAACAACTAATGAAGTATAACACAGTGCATGCAACAAGACTACAACACAAGCACTACATAAAGCAACAAAATTGATTTAAAAATCAAGCTAATCGAATGGAAAATCGACAAAAGGAGAGCTGAAACAAAAAAGAACTTAGAGCATTAATAAACCAAAGAGAAGAGGAGAAGTTGTTAGGTCTAGTTAGAAACTATAAAAATGATGTCATGTCAAGATTAAACTGAGAAAACGTAACTCCATCAGAGTTTCAACTTTCAATAAATCACAAAGGACAAACACTTTAGGGATACAATTTAGGCATTTTAAAGTGAAATTCTAGTCTCATTTTATCTAATTGCCTATATAATTATTTTCATGTCCACAACAGTTGTCGAACAAAAAACATTGAACAAAAGCATATAAGCATAATACATGTTCATCATGAGGAGGAGAAAGGGACAATAATGAACACAACTAAATAAGTGAGCAAACTTACATAAGATATGCCACAATAAATCAAATTAGTCGCTCCCATGTAAACTATAAACTACAATTCTACATTACTTCAGTAACCCGTCACAGAAGGACTGAGTGACAACTCAAGCAATTAATGAAGTGAAGCCAACATACTTTCAGAAATAAGCATCGTAGAAAGTACCTGAAATGTTGTTGTCAAAGAAAAATGACTCAGGAAGCGAACTTGTGTGTCTTCCCATAAGAGCGGCAACTATCTTCTAGCCATCTTGATCAATTGATTGCATCAGAACCATCCAAAAAGTCAACACAGACCAAATAGTAGTTGCAACGGTCAAAACAAAGAGGAAAAAAACTGATTATGAAGCAGAAAAAACTAAAGCTCTTCATAAGAGAAACTATATGTAACAACCCAACCCCTCGTTTTAAGTATTAGCACCCCATTCCTTCATTTGAGACTTCCAGTACGTTCATACAATGTTTTGTATTATGTTGAGAAGTTTGGTTTTGGTTCATATGATGTTTTCTTAGATATTTCTCTGCCCCCTAAGTTTTACCTCACCCCACCCTGCTCTACCATCCCATTCTGCCACCTCACATCCCTAGGTGTTGATGGATGGAGATTGGGTTGAGAATTTTGTAGTTAGTTGGTCCTTAATCTAGCTGGGAGGTCATTGGGATATCAATATAATTTTACTTTTCAATAAAAAGGAAGCCAAATTGAAATAGTATGAGCTAACATTTTTTTGGAATTAGATGAATTACCTCCTCCATCTCGGATTTAATTTGTTCCAGAAGTGAGTTTGCAATTTTGTACCTTAGAAGGTCCATTTCACCAAAAAATAGTGACTTATCTCAGGTCATATTGTATCAATTTGAAGGATATACATCCTCAAATTGATTGCAATGACTCTCATTCTTTGCACAAAAATAAAGTACTTGTGGTTGCTCCAATTCAAAGCACAACATTTTTGGTATTAAAATACAACATTTGATACTTGATAGAACTTGATCTTTCACATCTCACAAAGTTTAGCAACAAAAGATTCACTCGAACTCACATGTCATGCAAGATATAAGAGTGATGGGAACAAGGATACAAAATCGAGAGATGAAAGGAATTGAATGTTTACTGACCCCATGAGTAAAGCAAGTATGAACGTAAAGACTGATATTGTTCCAGGTTGCAAAGCAGCAACATAAGTCGAATTTGTGCAGTCAAGACCAACAACAAAGAGTTGGCAACCAAAAATACTTGTCTTAGTACCAAGAGAGAAAGAAAGCATTTTCAGTGTTTGTCTTAGTACCAAGAGAGAAAGAAAGCATTTTCAGTGTTTGTCTTAGTACCAAGAGAGAAAGAAAGCATTTTCAGTGTTTGTCTTAGTACCAAGAGAGAAAGAAAGCATTTTCAGTGTTTGTCTTAGTACCAAGAGAGAAAGAAAGCATTTTCAGTGTTTGTCTTAGTACCAAGAGAGAAAGAAAGCATTTTCAGTGTTTGTCTTAGTACCAAGAGAGAAAGAAAGCATTTTCAGTGTTTGTCTTAGTACCAAGAGAGAAAGAAAGCATTTTCAGTGTTTGTCTTAGTACCAAGAGAGAAAGAAAGCATTTTCAGTGTTTGTCTTAGTACCAAGAGAGAAAGAAAGCATTTTCAGTGTTTGTCTTAGTACCAAGAGAGAAAGAAAGCATTTTCAGTGTTTGTCTTAGTACCAAGAGAGAAAGAAAGCATTTTCAGTGTTTGTCTTAGTACCAAGAGAGAAAGAAAGCATTTTCAGTGTTTGTAGATATAAGAGTGATGGGAACAAGGATACAAAATCGTTGTCTTAGTACCAAGAGAGAAAGAAAGCATTTCAGCAATAGGCTTTATTAAGTGTAACAAAACTATGGAAATGAACAAAACAAATTCAAATATACAAATTTAGTACATCAAAACTTACCCAGTTAATTCTAGAATGAAGAATAACAATACGAGCCGCTTATTTAGAGGAAACATCGACCTCCTATACATAAAGAAACATAAAATGCATATTTGTAAGCGATGCTCACTTTTGAAAGAACTTGTACATATAAAGGGAATCATACTAAAATTAGCTATGAAACGAAAAGATCTGAAGGGAACTTGTACATATAATTTAAAGGGAAAAAAAGAGAAACATAAAGAATAAGATGAAGACGAAGAACATTGAAGGAAGAATGTACATACCTAAAAATGGCGATAGCCTGCTAAAAAGATGAAAATAGCAGAGACTTGCGTCTACTTTTTCCGGTTTGAGTAAAAAGAAGAAGAACGGGTTTGAGAAGATCCTAGCAATTTTCATTTGCTTGATTCCTAATCTCTTAATAATATGCAAAAATGAGGAAAGAGGAAGAACGTTCCGGAAGAATATGGAAGAGGCACATGTGGTTTGCTTAAAAATCAATTATGTATAATGACCATAGTATCCTTGAATAATGAGTATATTTATAACTCTGCCATTGGTCGTCCTCCTCTTCATGTTTCTATCTAATAGAAATAGAAATAAAGGAGGACCATAAACATGGTGATGTGGCACCTCTCTATGACCTCCATTTGCATTTAGCTTTTTCTTCCTTTTTGGCGTTTTAAAAAATAATAATTAATTATTATATTATAAAAATAAATTACTTAAATTTATTACAAATAAATATTTTATTGATGGAGGAACATTTATAACAAAAACTCTTCATATTCTTTTTTTATTTATTTGTCTCACTTACAATAAAAGGAGAAATATAATTTATCTTTTTTTGCCTTTTTTTTAATTCAAATTAATTATTGTATTGTAAAAATATATTACTTAATCTATACAAAATAAATATTTTATTAATGTATGAACATTTACAACAAAAAACTCTCCACATTCTTTTTTTTTTATCTCACTTCAAATCATGAATCATGAAATGATAATAAACTTTTTTACATTTTAAGTATTTTTATCTTTATTTTTTAATTTATTCACAAGGAGTTATTACCCATGACTTTCCCCTCTTTAATTTTTACTTTTAATAATATTCATAACTCTCATAATTTTTATGTCCATAACCTCCAAACTTGAATTTGTAAGTTTATGATGTCTTATGGTATTCCTTTAATTTGCCTATAAATTCATATTAGTTTCATGAAGATTCACATTCACAATTATCCTTTCTCTTTTCATCATATTGGTTTAGTTTGTAACAAAAACGAAGTACATGAAGGTAAGAAATATTTCATTGCAAATTTTTATTTTTATTTCCTCTATTTTTGTCTATATAAATTCGTATTTGGTTTGTGAATGAAACTAACAAGTAACAAAAAAAAAGTACACGGAGTTCTTAAATATATCATTCTCAAGTCCTTATTTTTTCATTTCCTCTATTTTGTCTATATATTCATATTTATTTTCATGAAGATTTACATACAAAGTTCATTTCTTTAAGTTCTTTATTTTTATTTTTATGTACTTAGACATGCTTTCTTAATTATTTTTTAATGTTTTGTATTATCATTCATCAAGCAAGTATGATTAAAAACAATCTCTATAATTCTTAACAATGTTTTATCTGTATGCAATTGCTCTTTCTAATAGTTAGTTTTCCAGATATAATATAGTTTGATTATAATATTTGTTAGATTTCAAGAAATAATTATTATTTAGTATTGTTAGTACTATTGAAAAGATAATATACAAATATATTACATATAATTTAAATTTCGTTCTTTCTTTTGACATAATTATTTTTAATTAGTATATGATTTTTTTTATTCAGTTGGTTGCCTATAATGAAGGGTTTGACATATGGATCAAAACATGATGACGGATCTACTTGCAAAGGAAGATGATAGAAGGAAAAAAATGAAGCATAATTAGAGATTATTTTTTACTTGAATTGTATTAGCAACTTAGTTACTTTTGCTAGAATTTTCTAAATGTTTATTTGTATAAATAATTTAGCTAAATGTATTATATTGTAAATGCTAATCATTTGATCCTTTATTATTCTACTTTTTCTTTGTTATGAAGCAAAATTAATATAATTATCTCATTTTAACAACAACAAAAAAAATTATGATGATTAGGATTTTTTTTTTTATAATTATAAAAAAATTATTGAAAAATAAAATATTGTTTTCATGATGCCATTTTTTGCGTATGTAACAATCTGTTTTTGTCACCGTTCTTTTTGCTTTGAAATGTATTTATAATTTTTATGTAGTCACCAATTTTTATATTTTCTCTGTTCATTTTTTGTATTTTCACCCCTTATTTTTATTTATTTATTTTACAAATAAAATCAATGCTTAATTAGTAATACATTTAATGTCTAATAAAATTATACATTTGAATTATTTATAACTCATGTCTCTTCATCTTACTTGTAACTTTTAATATTAAATATTATTCATAACTTTTGTATGTTTCATTTTTCATAAATCTTATAATATTTAATTAATGTTTTAAAAAATTATAATAAGTAAATATAATAATAAGGACATAATAAAAAAATCAATTTTGTTTTGACGAAATCAAAGTTTGAATAGAAAATTAGTACTCCTACAAAAGATACAGAAAATTAAAACATATAAAATATTTTCAACGTAATACAATATATTGTTATTTCAACATATTATCTCTTATTCCATTTACTTCACCACAGTGAATATTTTGTTCTACTATATACATATACAATTTTTTTTTATATTTTATATGTTTAAATAAAATGAAAAAACCTATGATATCGCAGATGAAGAGAAATATTTATATTATCTATATATTCGATACTAACCTAAATATTACATATTTCATATTATTATCTTATAAATATTTCATATAGCCGCGCGAAGCGCGGATAGTTTCACCAGTGAGAATATATTACAAAGCCATTGATGATATTTTCTCGTAAAAGAACAAACAATTCAAAAAAGCCAAAATATTGAATTTAGTTGACATATAATTATACTAAAGCTTAATTATACATTTGTAACTAATAAAATTGTTATAACAATAAAAAAATACTAAAAATTTATTTAATTGCTACTAATTCAAGTAATACTCGAAGTCAAATCAATCACAAACTGTTAAATTTTTTCTTGATTTATCACCTTCAGCTCCATTGATATATTCCATAGTTATACTTATATATAGTTATACTTATTAGACTTTGAAAAATCTTAATGTTTAGACTGAAAACATTCCTAATATTCTAAAAAAGTCAACAATATGGGTGTGTTTGGTAGGAGTCCAATTTTCTCAGGGTAAAATTTATCCGCACCCGGTGTATACATCAAATCAATACATACATGCCATGTGTTTAAATTTATAGTTCCTTTTACTTAACCATAATTAATTAACATGTGTTTTGCTTCATTAAATCACGTAATAATGGAAATTGCATTAGTTTGGTGTATACACCCGGTGTGGGTTAGTTTTTCTATTTTCTCATGTTTGGTTGACTTAAATGTTTGGAAAATGTTTTCTATATCAAATCATTTTCCTCAAATTTAAGGAAAATGTTTTCTCTTCAAAAATTGAGGAAAACATTTTCCAAAACTCTACATCCTTTAATTTTTTTTCTTACCCTACCCATACCCCGTACCCGACCTTCCCCATTCAAAAAAAAATTAAAAAATTTAAATTTTCTTATTTTTTAAATTTCAAATATATTTTTATCCCTACCACCAACACCCCCCCCCCCACCAAACAAAAAAAAGAATTATTTTTGAAAAATGTTTCAAAGTTTAAGATTCTTTTTACCTAACCCAACCCTTACCAACCCTACTCCCTACCCCCCCCCCCCACCCCAAAAAAAAAAATTGATTTTGAAAAATATTTCAAATTTAATTTTTACTTTTATTTTTTACTTCACCCCCCACAACAAGGCCATCCTCTTCCCCGCTTCCCCTGTCAATTTTTTTAAAAAAATTAATTTTGAAAAATATTTCAAATTTAAATTTTTTACGCCACCTCCACCCCACCCCTACCCCCCC